TTCACTACTTGATGTTTTAGCATATCACTGTGTTTTAATTCTCAAATTGTCAAGGAACAATGAGTATTATGTTATTTTACATGTTCACATAGATTTAATTTAATGGATTTTACTTATCAATAAAATTAAAACCCAGTTAATAATTAATGCATTTACATTATTTGACACTGTGAATACAAGGCAAATTATTGCTGTTCCTCTATATAAAACTTGGCATATGGAAAGCTTGGCTAATAATAACAGAGGCATGCGCAGAATAATCCAGATCACTTGATAAAACACTGGACGATTAAGTCATTTTCCATGTTGTATATAATATTAGGCAAAAATGAAAGGTTCTTCTTTTCTGGCAACTGAATTCCCACTTGAATGTGCTAGTTGTTTTTACAACTCTATGTATTTTAATGAATTGAACCTTATGTCACCTTTATAATCAGATTATGTAGAAATAGCCTGTACACTGTACATGTATGCTTTGAATTTGTGTGAAATTGAAGCAAATCTTGAAAACTCTACTAAGCAAATTTTTTTTTAAATAACAGAATATTGTAATACTTCATACCTGTAGTTTGAATATTAAAGTATGGCTACCAGTTACTAATAATAATAATAATAATAATAATAACAATAACAACTTTATTACACTACCGAACCATCAGCGGGTTCAGTATGGTAAATAAAAAGTATTACAAGACTAGGACAATTCTAAATACAATACAATACAATAATAGAAAATAAGAATAAAATAAAGACTGAGTTAAAAAATAAATATTAAAAACAATTACTAGAATGAATACAATTAAAACAAAAACTGAATAAAGTACTAGTAATTTAGTCCCATCAACCACCCCTCCCTGCACTGTTATTTAGTAATCATGTCTTTGTGTGGATGTTTTTAGATTCTGTTTACTCCAAACCTGTTGGAATTGGTGATGTGGAAAATGTTGAGATGATGCCTGAGCTTTCAATAGATAAACAGTTTTTAAAGGATGCAATGAAAATAGTATTTACAGAAGGAGTGGTCAAAGCAGGAGACAGAAAAACAAAAGGTAAGAAATGCATGTGATTGAAAATATACTGTATTTGCTCTATTAGAAGGGTGGACTGTGGATTCATCTCAAGTTGTCCCATTTGTTTTGTCTGATTTATTCTCGATAATTTATTATGATAATAACTCGTCTAATATGTGCAAGATGTGAACAATAAACTGTATGTAATTGTGGTCTCGCACTCATCGTGACTATGGCAGCACTTGAAGACATTTTAATTTTAGCACAGAGAGCTACCTAATTTAACTGCGTGAATAATTTCCCGTTCTTCAGTATCTGCCACCATGCGTACCAAGTTTGTTTAATGTCCAACATTTAACATTTTTGTTAACACTATTTACAACAAGTCTCGGTAGCATAAGGGCTGCAAGTTAGCAGCCCTTAACTAAAGCAGTTTTGGCCAACACAAACACTCTTCAGTCTTGTAAAACCTCATAAAACAGATGACTAGCATTTGATGGTGGTAGAATGAGAATGACTGGATATAATCAAATTATAGATTATCTAATTTAGTCAAAACCAAAGTTGTGTCAGCAAATTAGTGAGTAGCTTGCTGCCCTAATACTTCTGAGACTTCCTGTAACACTGTTAGTTTAACTTTGCTATGCAAATAAGACCTAATACAGTTCACATATGTGCACCTCAACAGTTTTTGTTCGTCAAGCTGATTTCATGAAACTTAGTACACCATTAATGTTGTGATGGTTTTCTGTCATTAAACAAAAATGGTGTAGTGGATTTTTGTTCATCTTAAAATGGGCTTTAATCCTAGTGTAAAATATAGCTATAACAGTACATACTGCTATATTATTTTTATATTCTGTTCCAGCATCGATTTTTTTTTTTTTTTTTTTTTTAATTTTTGTCTCCATTTTGGTTTAATTTTAACATTTATAGTTGACTATGTTAACAACATTATAACATACTACCCACTCTATACTGTGTTGCTGTTGATACAGATTCAATTACCCCTTATCATTCCACTACATTAACTACATACTATCGTTTGTAATACTAGGGTTGCTATAGTAACCAACAGGTTTGGTTGTCAATTGCAAAAGTGTTGTAAATTTTCTCTTAAATACAACCACCTTATTGTGATCAGGATGATCCATACAGCGTGAAAGCTGCTTGTATGCAAATTATATTTATAGACTAATTTACCATGAAACATTGCCACTAAAACAGCTTTGATGGATATAGCATCATTGCATACCTCAAGAGTTGGTCTTTATTCAGACAATGCCATATAAATATAGATAAGTGATACTGGCAAATTAGGTAGGCATAACCCCAGCAACCAGCACATGTGCATACAAGTTATGCAGAAAACATCATTTGTCCACATACAATGTATAGAAGATAATATTTGGTAATCGTAGTCCTAAGTTTGTTAATTCCATGAGGTTCTTTTATTCCACGGCGGAATATAGTTTTCTTCTCTACATGTCTGAGCATGAAATGCGATAAACAATATTCATGCTAATACAATGCGGGAAACTTTATACTGGTTCTACAGTTCGTCGATTGAGTGATCGGTTTGCCGAGCATCTACGACAAACAAGACAGAAAAATCGGTTACACTTCATTTTAATTCTAGTAGACAAAACAGATAAGTCAATTTCTGGTGTATGTGTTCTCAATGGCAACGAGAATCAGCTCAGGCATGTTGAGGAGGAAACTATATTCCGCTTTGGAACAAAAGAACCTCGTGGAATTAACAGTTAAACTCATTTGTTGAGCTTACTACCTAAAGCGCGTGACATGTTGTATTGTGGAATTTTTTAGTGATTCTATTTTATAGTCATTGCGCATTCCTATGTTCTACCTGTACGTTTTAACATTTTCTTCTATGCTATTGATAAAGAGCCATTGCTCGAAACGTCTTGCTATTTTTAAAGGGCAGCAGTCGTTGCACCGCGTCCTGTTTGATATGGGACTCATAGCAACGTATACAACGCGTGTAAAATACATTGTTTATTTACATGAAATTCGAACACGCGCTATATATATCACACTATATATCTTCTATATATCGCATTTATCAGTCCGAGCAGCGTTTATTAACTACCGTACTTTTACAATTTGTCCACATAACTAGCCAATAGCAACAAATCTGAAAATTCGTATTTGTCCAATTACGTGACCTAATCACTAATACTAGCATGTATTTTTTTGATAGTGTTTTTAGCTCCGCTGTCGACTTTGTCGAGCGGAGCTTATCATATGAGTGATTGTCCGTCGTCGTCCGTGTCAATGTTTTACTTTTTCGACTTCTTCTTGAAAACTTCAAGCCTGAATGCTTTGATACTTGGTGTATATGTACCTTGGGTAAACCTCTCTGAGGTTTGTTCATTTCATGTTGATATCTTCAATTCTCTAATTTTGGTGAATATTTTTGTCATTTTTGGTAAAAAGTGATATTTTAGACTTCTTGTTAAAAACCGCAAGTGCAATTGCTTTGATATTAGATATATAGGTACTACATGTGGACCTCTTTCAATTTGTTCATTTTGTGATGATATCTTCAATTCTCTAATTTTGGTGAATATTTTTGTCATTTTTGGTAAAAAGTAATATTTTCGACTTCTTGTTAAAAACCGCAAGTCTGATTGCTTTGATATTAGATATATAGGTACTACATGTGGACCTCTTTCAGATTTGTTCATTTTGTGATGATATCTTCAATTCTCTAATTTTGGTGAATATTTTTGTCATTTTTGGTAAAAAGTGATATTTGCGACTTCTTGTTAAAAACCAATAGTTCAATTGCTTTGATATTACATATATAGATACTACATGTAGACCTTTCTCAGATTTGTTCATTTCGTGATGATATCTTTAATTCTCTAATTTTGGTGAATATTTTGGTCATTTTTGGTAGAAAGTGATATTTTCGACTTCTTGTTAAAAACTGTAAGTCCGATTGCTTTGATACTATACATATTGTTCATTTTCTAATGATGTCTTCTGTTCTTTAATTGAAATGTGCATTGCTAACAGCGGAGCTATCTCAGCCGAGAGGCTGCTTGTTTTTTATTGCTGTGAAACTATTTTTTCAAATATCAAAAAACAGTACTGGGTATATACATGTATAATTCATGGGTATTCAGAGATGCTGTATTTGCTCTATTAGTAGTATGTGTGCTTATTAGTCTCTGTTCGGACGCAGTGCGTCTAGACCTATATCTTAGAAATGCTTGGACCAATCATAATCAAACTTCACACATACATCAAACATGATATTATACATATGCACATGAACTTGTTTCACGATCTGATTCAAGATGGCCGAAGGGCAGCCATTTTTGTGCTAAAAAATCATCAAAATCAAGCATTTCTCGGCTGTTTACAGATGGATTTTGTTCAAACTTGATATATACATTAGACATTATGAGATCTTGCTGCAAATAATTTTGTTTTTCAGATACGATTCAAAATGGCCAACTGGTGGCCATTTTGTTTTTGTTTTAATGAATGGGTTTCTAGACCCATATCTCTGACTTGCTTCGACTGATTATGTTCAAATTTTATATATTCATTATACATCATGTCATAGATATTCAGATATATTGGTTTGACAATCCTATTCAAAATGGCAGAATAGTGGTCATTTTTGTGCTGAAAAACATCAAATATCAAGCATTTCTGACATTTATGGATGGATTTTGTTCAAACTTATAACATACATTAGACATTACAGGTTCCAGATGCACGTCATTTTATTTTTCAGATCTGATTCAAAATGGCTGACTGGTGGCCATTTTGTTTTAATGAATGGGCTTCTAGAGCCATATCTGACATGCTTTGACTGATTATGTTCAAATTTTATATATTCTTTATACATCATGTTATAGATGTATTCATAATGGCTGATTTTGTTTTAATTAATCATGTTCCGAAGCAATATCTCTCAAAATGGAGAAGTACTTGTTTGACAATCAGATACAAATGTCAATCATTTTAATGTTAAACAATCATTATAATCATATTCCTAACATATATATTCCAGCTATATTACTATAAACAAAACTATATCTTAAATTTGATAACTAACAGGGACTGTGCCATGCATGGCTTGTTTAAAGACAATAGTGTATTCATGGTCAAAGCAAGTAGTGTCTAAATTATCTAGTAAACAATTAATGCAATTAATGTATAATAACAAGCATCTGTCACTATAACCCCATATGTTACAGCGTGCCGTAAATTTGTGGTATATCCAGGGTATTTCTATCCTGCTATATAAGGAAATGCAAATTCCAAATATGGAAATACTTGCGCACAAACACAAAACTCAACACAAAAAAGTTTGCTGATTCGGTTCTAAACTTTTGGATTTCGGCATTCCCATGATGTATCCTTAGAAGAAAAAAATGTATAATAATAAGCTTATTACAAGGGTACCAAAAAGTATGCACTCAGACAGTATGCCCTCTGCTGTCCACCAGTCGATACTCTCGCTGTACTGTCTTCGTATTATTTCTGCATATCTAGATACATTTCAAACCACTTCTTGCGTTAGAACTTGATTGGTCAAGGGAGGAAAAATTAGTTTGGGCTAGTTATGAAGAATTTGTAATACAATTATTTGTCTTACTGCAATTTATTCCCTTGCAGTTGTTGAATATTTAGAACCTGATGAATTGAGGGATGTATTCGATTTCAAAATTAGAGATGAAGCCGAAACTTCAGAGACATTATTAAAATTATTGAAGGATACATACAAATACAGTGTTCTGCCAGGTAAGTCTGCAAATAATACCTAAAAGTATGTTCTTTAATAATCTTTTTTAGTTTTCAGAGATTTTTGTACTGGAGTGTTTTCAAGATATTCTTAGTACACAATCTTTGCCACGATCGATTAGCCAAAACTTTTCAAAACCAAAAAAATCTTCCCATCTTTGTGAATGCATTATAGAAGACAAGTTTTCTTTGAGTATAATAAAACATCTGGAAAATCAATAAATTAAATAAAACTCACTAAATAATAAAATCTACTGTGAATCAGGCATGCCAATGAAGTAGTGACTAAAAATAGAACTGACATAACCATCAAACATAGAAGTGTGCAGACGTCAGTTCTTAGTTCACGCGAGTTGTTGCATGTGTAGTTCACGTGAGTTTTGAATGGCAACAGGACTTTGTCACAATTTCATAGTGGTTGAAGGTCAACAAATTACAAAAATGACTTGTGGCAATTTGTTGTGTTTTAATCTAATGATTAAATAGTTTGCCATCTAAAGTGTGGCAATTTTTCTAAAGAACAAATTACAATTCAATTATACTGTAGAAAACAATTCATATTACTGTTTGGTCACATCATATATTTTAATTATAGTTTCAATAATGAAAACCCTCAGTCAACATTTAGGTGAATTGACTCTGCCAAGTATTTCCATAATTTCATTGGCATATACTTGCTTTGTTATTTAGAAGCCAGTTATTTCCATAGAGCAACATTTTATTGGTAAAAAGTTTAACAAACGTGTAAATTTATTTTTCTGTTCCAGCCAATCCTCGTTTCTACAATCAGCTTTTCTCTGGACAAGATGTGTATGGTCTTGTTGGGCAATGGGCGACTGACTCGTTTAATTCTAGTGCGTAAGTAACATTAACTGTAATCCTTTTTCTTTGCTGATGCTTTGAAAATTCTCAAATATGGTTCATTTCTCAAATATGGTTCATTTCTCAAATATGGTTCATTTCTCAAATATGGTTCATTTCTCAAATATGGTTCATTTCTCATTGCTAAAACACAATTGAGTGTACATCTTATGTGCAACTGTAAGTAATTCAAAATACTTCTCTTTTTTTAATCAATTTAATTCAAAATTTCAAAAATTGCTACATACAAAGAAATAAGTAATACTCGCTGACAAACAAGAATGGTGCCAATCGGTTATTTGACATAATTTTATGTTACTTAAGGTTACATTTTAGATATAAGCTGTGTCTCATAAAATGAAACTATCCAATATTTTTATTGTGTAGTTCATATCAAATGCATTTTTATTTTTGGTCTTTGAAATGCAAAAATTGCCTGTTCAGGATTATTCTGACTTGTAGCAAAATTTTATTTTTGGGGTAGTTCATATCAAACATGTGATGCTAAAACCATGTGTTATGAGATGCTCTGATCTAACTTCTATGTGGGTTCACCCTGGGATTCTCATTTGTGAATTTCTGGATATTTTTGTTGTGTTCATGGCAACAAGTTTTTCTACTTGAAGCAAGAAAACTTAGAATTTGTTTTGCATGACAAATATTTGTTAATTTCAAATATAACTATTCGCATTCTATCTTGTATGTCTGAATGTGTGATATGTACATGTAGTGACCATACCCCCTAGCACCATGTACCATGCTATAACACTGTACCCCCTAGCACCATGTACCACTCTACAACACTGTACCCCCTAGCACCATGTACCATCCTATAACACTGTACCCCCTAGCACCATGTACCATCCTATAACACTGTACCCCCTAGCACCATGTACCATTCTACAACACTGTACCCCCTAGCACCTTGTACCATTCTACAACAATGTACCCCCTAGCACCTTGTACCATCCTATAACACTGTACCCCCTAGCACCATGTACCATTCTACAACACTGTACCCCCTAGCACCTTGTACCATTCTACAACAATGTACCCCCTAGCACCATGTACCATCCTATAACACTGTACCCCCTAGCACCATGTACCATTCTACAACACTGTACCCCCTAGCACCTTGTACCATCATACAGTGTCATCATTATTAAAACCATGGAAGCAAAAATTGTGATTTTTTTTTTTTATGAGATTTTTAGAAGAGTAATATTCTTTGCCAAAAGATTCACCCACTTGTTGAATATTTGCTCATGTGTTTTAAATGGCATGGTATCTGACAAAACATTTTGAATTGATTCTGTTTTAGCTACACCTATGAAGTAGCACCGGTATTTGTGTTGATGGAACATGAAGTTATTAAAAGATTACGTGAAACTATTGGTTATACAAATGGAGATGGAGTGTTTTGTCCAGGTATGTATCTTTTAATTGTATAATAATTCTTTCAATACATTATAAATCCACTTTTCTCTTATAGAAACTACCGGTAGTATGCCTATATATGTAAAATATTCGTCGAAATAGTTTACTATTTTTCTTAAAGACAACTGAAAATCTTTCGGGCTAATATTCACTTGCTTGGGATGTGTGCTTCTAATAGAGAATTGCAGTATGTGTATTTATTTTTGTCTTGTATCTCATTAATATTGATTTTATTTATTATATTCTGAGCCATCTGGTAAGATGTGTCTCAACTTGTCTTCCCCAGTATATTTAACTTGTTACCATGCTTGTCAGTTTGAAACCAACATACCAACATGCATGATAGAATGAGAAAATGTCAGTCCAAATTGACTTGTAAATAATGCATGTACATTGTATTATTACTAAATTATTTGCCGCATTCTGGCCACACTGTGTGGCGCCGATCGCGTGGACGGGTTTCATGTTCTCTGCACGTAATAAGCTCGGTTGTTAAGCATCCTTTTTTGGGGATGCCCAGTGGCCGAGGGGAAGACGTGTAGTGGCATGAAGCTAGGCGATTAGGTGTCGTACGCGAGCGTCGGTTCGAGTCGCGCACGCAGTACGTGTTTACTATAATTAGACGTAATATTTACCTTGCCGTGTATTCGGTGTTATTTGCTTACTTTACTTCCTATGTCGACAGCAACAATGAGTTTAAAATTATTACTAAATGTTAAACATGCACATCTGTTCTTGGTAGGTGGTTCAATAGCCAACATGTATGGGATAAATTTAGCAAGATTCAAGAAATATGGAAGTGAAATAAAAAGTAAAGGACTTTATGGGTTACCAAGACTAATCATCTATACCTCTGAGCATGTAAGTACTGTCTCATTCAAAGATTTATACAGTAGTTTTGCCCATGTACACTTTGGAAAAGTTGATTTAAATTGCTTGCATACTCTCCTCATTGCTTTTAGAAGTGATTTTGTTGTTGTTGCTGTGCAGCTATTTTCGAAAGAGAACTGCCTGATAAATGCAGTTTTTGGTTAATGTACACTTTCAACAGAGCAAATATGGCATATATTTTTGATCTGTTGATTTGATTTTTTTTTGATTTTTTTTTTTTTTTTTGCATCACATTTAAAGTACAGGTATTTGATCAATCAGGTCTAGCATGACACTGGGGACAACAGATATTTGATTAACCCTGTCTTTTAGTTGTCACACTGTGGTGATAAGAATATTGCATGTCTCATATTGACATAGTTGGTTATTGTAACTATATTTATCTGTCAACTACTGCCTAGTTGACATAGCTTGTTATCATAGTAGATTAATCTGGGTGGTACAGTTTGTGTACAGCTCTGTGTTAAATTCCCAAGCAGATAAAGTACAAACTGCTGTCCAAACACCCAGTATAGGCTCTGGGAGACTAGTTTGTACACTAACACTTGCAACTAGCACCCAAGAGAAAAAACTCTGGGGAGAGATGGCAGCGACTTCATTATCTGGAAATGTCGTCTGACAAAAAAAAAAAAATCTGTGTACTAGTTCAATGTAATTTTAAACATGCACGTTTTATTTGACTTGTATCTAATGTACCAGGACTGCAGTGTACTTTTATGGTGATTAAAACAATCTAGTCAGATTAGTTAAATTAATTTCAACTATGAGATGGATAGTTATCATATTCTGTAAAACAAAAGTGAATCACAGTGGCCCTTATGTGGACATGGTATGTCATATCACTTAGCCATAATTTCTATAATCATCCAATATGCTGAATATAATACATGGCAGAGTCATCTGTTCATACAGATTTAAACCTGTCCCAAACAGGTTGAATTTTTAGCTTGGTGAAGTGAATGTATAAATCGGACGAAAATTTTGCTGAAGACTTGATTTTACATCTGATGTTTCTTGTCAGTTCCTGTGGGAAAATATGTCGTGAATTAATATGTATTTCTGTTTTCTTTTCAGTCGCATTATTCAGTTAAGAAAGGAGCTGCTTTTATGGGTTTTGGTACAGATAGTGTGTATCTTGTGAAGTGTGATGAGAGGTTAGTATATCCTAACATCACCACACAAAAATGTGTGAATCGGCAACAATTAAATTAAGGAATATTTATGTCATCAACCAAATGAAATTGTATTCAATTCCATCTTCAGTGAAAATTTATTTGCCAAGTACAATACGGTCCAAGCGTAACTTAACAATCAGCTTCAAACTGACTTGAAACTAGCTTAACTTTCTTTCAAAACTTCTGCATATTTCAATTTTAATCAGCCTAAATGTCTCGTATTAGTAACCTTGTTAAATACTACAAAGAATAAGTTAAAATTATCAAATAACAATGATACTCGCTTTACTTTAAAAATGACAAGTGTTTGTATAAAGGCATAGACAGCTGATAGCAAGCTTTGAAGGGCAATTTACGTCCAGACCATGATGTAGGTCAGGTCAGGTCAGATAAAGTGTGGTTTATTTAAATCATTTATTCTGTATCAGTGTACTAGTGTCCGTACACTGTGACTTGCAGACATCTTGGCATGCTGCCAAAATTTGACTGGTTAATACCAGATACAATTGTGTTGTTTATTTTTACTAAATTCAAATTAGATGTCTTTAGCGCCCTCACGGACTGAATATTATAAAGTTTTCAAACTTAATTGAAGGCACTCAAGTATTAAATGTTCAATTGAAACATGTTTTTTAGTCTCTGTTCAGATAAAAACTTAAGAATATAAGTATCTTGCATTATAGTGGAGACTCTGCTACTATTGGTCAAGTGTTCTCTCAATCTTAACATTACGTAATATTAATCTATAAGTTTAACTGGGACTAGGACATTATTGAGTCTGGTATTAAATAACCAGTTATTTCTTGAAAAACTTCGTAAATACAAATGCATAAATTTTATTTTGTCATCAGATCAAATTTGACTGACTGGCAGCCATTTTGATGTTAAAATTCATAAATCCATATATTTGAATGTCTCTGCATTCTGTATTTTGAAATCTTGTTTTTGTTTTGTTTTTAAATCCAATATTACACTCAACCTGTTTCTCTGTAAAAGCTTACTAAAACTTTTACTTTAAGCTAATTATGATTCAAAAATGCCACTTCAAAATTCTTATTCATTTTCATTTTTTTTATGAAAAGAACTTGGATGTGTTGAGTGAAAGTTATTTCATAGAATGTGAGAACAATTTGATTCCACTTGTGAAGTTATTCCCTTATGATTTTTTTAGCATACAATGTTGCAATATCCACATATACAATTATTTCATGTTTATGAGTCCCCGTTCGGACGTAGTCCAAAAACGGGGACTTGTGTTTTGACCTTCTTAGAAATGCCTGGATCAATCACAATCAAACTTTACACATACATCATACATGATATTATACATATGCATGTCAATTTGTTTCACGATCTGATTCATTTTGTTTTTCAGGTAAGATTAAAAATGGCCAACTGACGGCCATTTTGTTTTAATGAATGGGCTTCAAGACCCATATCTCAGACTTGTTTTGACTGATTATGTTCAAATTTTAAATATTTATTATACATCATGTCATAGATAAACAGATATATTGATTTGACGATCCTATTCAAAATGGCGGAATAGTGGTCATTTTTGTCCTAAAAAAATCATCAAATATCAAGCATTTCTGGCATTTCTGGATGGATTTTGTTCAAACTTGGTACATACATTAGACATTACATGTTCCTGATGCACGTCATTTTATTTTTCGGATTGGATTCAAAATGGCTGACTGGCAGCCATTTTGTTTTAATGATTGGCTTCTAGAGCCATATCTCTAAAATTCTTTGACTGATCATGTTATATATATATACATGTATTCAAAATAGCTGATTTTGAATGCTGTTCCAGAGCAATATCTCTCAATATGGACAAGTACTTGTTTGACGATCAGATACAAATGTCAAAAAATCATATTCCTGACATGGTTATATTCCAGCTATATTACTATAAACAAAACTATGTATCTTAAATTTGATACAGTACAGTTCTCGCGAAAGCTTTGGCTTTTCTTCAGCTTCACTTTCGCTTCACCATCGCATCATTATGGCATTGTTTTGGCTTCAGCATCGCATCAATGTCGCGACAATAAAAAGTTGGCGGTTATCGCTTCGCTTCATTGTAGCCTCATTATGGCGACAATGTGGCATCAGCATCGCTTCATCAAACAAAGAAGTACAGAACTCATTTCGCCCAACCTCTCGCCCGCTTCCGCTTTTCAATCGCTCGCTTTTGCGACAGCTTGTTGAATTTCCGCTTTATTTTCGACTGTGCGAAAATTCGGACTACTAACAATTTTCTGGTTTTCATAGATCACGGTTACTAGTTTAGTAACTGTACATAGATGTTGAACAACCGTCAAAAGTTCAAATACTTTTTGTTTTAACTATCTATAATTGTATGCACGCAATCTGACCCTTTGACCTAAATTTGGCTGGGATTTACTATTTTATTTTAAACAATATTCTGACGTGACGCACTGCTACAAAATGTATTTCACCAGAAGTATGACATGGTTGTCTAGGTTTCTTTTCCTGACTGTGTTGAGTTTACGATTTGTATAATTATTTCCCCCAAGGAGAAGACAAGCAAAAGGACCATGAAGCTAAACAGAAGTCCCATGCATGGACTGAGTGAAAGAAAATATTTCTAAGGCTAAAATAAAACCTAATAGCTCTTTGTGTATTTGTTAATTTTGCATATATTTGGTATGACATTATGGTCGTAAATATCTGGGAAAATCTCGTTTTTAGTTAATAATTTTATTTGTTAGTCCCCGTTCGGACGCAGTCCGAAAACGGGGACTTATGTTTTGCCCTGTGTGCGTCCGTCCGTGCGTCCGTGATCACCTGTATCTTGAACATGCATGGACCGATTAAGTTCAAACTTCACTCATACATCACACA